AGCACATTGTATCAGTCTTTTTATAGACTGTTGGTTAGAGTTATCTCTAGGGCATACTTCGTCATTTAGTAGTTGATTATATTTTGTAGCAACTTTATCTAAAGTAATGCAGGTTATTAAAGTACTAGAGTAGTAGTGCAGTAAAAGCAATATGTCTTTAAAATCAAATAGTCATATCACTGGTTCCCTGAGGCTGCTTGTTGTTTTTTGTTACAGAACATGGATACTGTGCATCAGAAGTTCATACTTGATGTAGTTTCTGGATGCATTGAACAAACAAAGTTACTGGACGTAGTTGTCAATGTCTTCTATGGCCAGAATGGACGATGCTTATCTAGAGGTGATCGCAGCCAGCTTGTCAGTAAGTTAATGAACCAAACAAACTCCTACATTCAAAATTGGACTTTAAATAAAACAAGATTTTGTTTATAATACTATTGTGTTCTTCAGTCATCTGTTACCTCGCCACCTTTTCTCTTGATGACCTTGGACTTCAGCGCTTCAGTAACATTATTAAATCTCTGGACATCAAGAAGATGCACACAGTAAGAAACTCTTATCACTGTTGTTTCATAGGGAAATTACCATAATACTGTGCCCTGTGTGACAGTGTGTGTCTTGTGTTTGGCTACAGTTCCTGACTTTCTTTTTCACAAACCTCACTACGTGGATACAAGACGAGTGGAATAATATCTACGAGGCTGCCTATGTGGAGAAACTCTGGGTTGGCCCTCTGCTAAGGTGAGAAGAGAAGGAAAATATTTTTGAAGGAAATCAATGTTTTTTTTAAAGTCAAGGATCAAAGAATATGTGTCCTTTAGATGGCGCCCTGAGATGGATATTCTCCTGGACCAGCTTGCCGTCAAAATATCTCATGGGACTCAGGTCAAGAAAGCTCACATCAAAAGAACTGAGCCTCAGGAGTTCTCTCTCACGAAACCTAAACCTCGACCTCTGCCTGTGCCTGAGGTCATTCCTCTGCAGGAAAAATCTAAACCAGTTAGTATCATTTACAATAATATATTTCCAAACATTGTCCCACAGTTAGTTTCTGTGCTGTCTTTTATAGACCATATAGACAAGACTTTATCATTGTGTTGAGGCTCATAGAATCTGTTTGTTTAGGTGCCAGATAGCACATACAAGGCTCCAAAGGAGATGCAGATGATCGAGGAGATCAAACAAAAGAACCTTCAAAAGACTGAGGTAAAATATCTGCTTTTACTATTATCACCAGATGGGAGGAAACTGTGTAAAAAAAGACTTAATGTATATCACATGCAACCGTTAAGTAAAACACAAATAACCATTACATTCCAGCACATCAAAACACTTACTAATGGATACTATTATTCTCATATTATTATCATAACTTATGGTAGCTTTGTTATATGCCTTTCTAACTACCTCTATTTATTTTACCAAAGGAACTGCTCTATGAGGCAAATATGAAACAGTTCAGGTGTGTTAATCCCCAGAAGTCTGAACACACCAAGGTAGGGGCTATTGACTGTGCTTTAGTAATCTTTTTTTGATTAATTTCAAAGCTAATTAAAAAAGATAAAACACTGAGAAAAGTCCAAAATTCACATTTCTGACAAACCATCATTTGTATTGCAGAGAGCGATGTCTCAGATTAAGGAGGGCTTGGATTCAAAACTCAAATTCAATTCATTTCATTCCTCTGAAAATCCCTCCAGCAATAAGGTGACATGTAATAACTTACTTCAGTGGATCAGTCTTCAGTTTAATAGTGAAGGATATCAACTAATATAGATATCCTAATTCTGACTCTGTTAGACTAACAGCTGGCCAATCAAGCTCAACAGTGCAGCCATCCTGAGGCAGGGGGCGCTGTACGACCGTCAGGTGGAGGAGGAGCTGCAAAGGTACAGCGCCACTTTCAACTGCCACTGCTTGACCTTTGTTAGTGGCATTATGTATTCGAACCTGATCAGTATTCAACAACTGTGAACATTCATAAACACACCTCCGCCCCTCAAAGACTACAAACACTACCATTTAGAAATATTTATGGCTATTTTACTTGCATCCTTTGGTTACTATAACCCTTTACATTACATGTCACTTGTTAGACGCTTTTATCCAAAGCCACTTACATACTCAATACTGTGGGCAATCCCCACAGGAGCTATTTTGGGGTGAAGTGTCTTGCCCAGGGATACAACGACATGCTGACTGCAGTGGGGTTTGAACCTGTGACCCCATGATCCGAACACAAACGCACAACCCACTGCACCACACGCCTCCCACACAGTCACTACATGTATACAGTTTTGTACATTTAACGTTTTTAGACTGTAAGTTTAAATATGCACATTGACATTTAATTTGATCTCATTGCACTGTCATCGCTACTACCTCTGCTTTTACCACTTTTATTTATTTATTTGAGTTTAATTTTGACTGCAGTGAGAGTGGCAAAAGAAATGTTCTATACTTTGCATCATGACAACAAAGATATATTCTATTCTATCCTGCATAAGACAGTACTGGAATAGAAGGCAAAACTATTTTAATGCGAGCAACATTCAAATTATAATGTTTATGATAACTGATCATTTTGAAAATACTTGTGCTTACATTTTCTTGAGATGTTCTATATAACGAATGTGGAAAAAATATCTTTATCCTTAATCAATCAATCTTAACTAGACTAAACAAGGTAGAATAAGACCATATATGGCTAGAATAAAACTGAGTTTGGAATAAGACTGGATCTGCCAGATGTTGAGTCATTTATTTGTGTTTGTATACAGAATGGAGCGTCTGGTGGAAGGGGCACGTGAGCCCTCGTCTTTCCTCCAGTGGCAGAAGGAGATGCGTGAGAGGGACCTTCAGGAAGAGCTGGCCAAGATTGAGCGCAGACACCTAGAGGGACGCATCAGTTATGAGGAGGCAGCTATGGCCCGCACACGCATAATGGAACGCAACCAGAAGGCTGCTCAGCTAAAGAAAGAAGAGGTGGGTAAAGATACATTGACAAATGACAATAACATTCATTTACATAAGATAACATAGTGCTTTAAAGTTTGTAACGAGACTGTAAACGTGTCATACAGTTATGTGTTCTCTGCAAACACCTTTTAAAGAAAGGTCTTTACAATTATGCATGGATAATGTGGCTTTTATTGTTTCTTAGAGAGCTCAGCTGATGCGGTCATATGCGGAGAAAAGGATGCAGGAGGAAAAGGAAATAAGAGACTTAGTGCAACAAGTAGCAGAAGGACACAAGAACTCAAAAGCAGCTAAAGAGAGAATACAGAAATTCAAGCAAAGTATAGGTAAGGCCTCCTTATTTCACATCACATGTGATGCAATGGCCTCTTCTCCATGGTTTCCTTTTCATTCTCATCAATGTCACTTACACTTCACAGTGAAAGAAGTCTCAGAGCAAAGACAGGAGCTCCTACGTCAAGCACTGGAGGAAGCACAAGCAGAGCTCAGCAGAAAATTTGAAATCATCCGTGAAATCCGCGCCATTCAATCGCTTCCTCACAGAAGAGTGAGGAATTTTGACGACACAGAGGTGGGTGAGGGAAGGCATGGATGCCATAACATTTGAGATAGTTTCACATACTTCTTGTGAATCGATTGTGCCATGTCAGACTGCAGGACATGAGCTGCTGGGGGAGATGTCCCTGGTGGAGCTGAAGGAGCGTCTGGCCCTGCTGGGGGAGGCGCAGCAGACAGAGCAGCAGGAGAAACGGGAGCACATCCTGGAGGAGAAGCAAAACAAGAAGCAGCTGCTGCTGGAGCAGCTGGACACCATCGAGCTCCACAGGAGAGCGCTGGCACAGGCTGCTGCCATCAGGTCAGAACATATTTGGCTCTCATTCGATTGTGATAGGAAAATATGGGGCTAAAGCAGACATACACAAACACTGAAATATCCCCCACACAGTCATGAGGTGTTCTGGCATGTTGCAGGAAAGAGGAGAGGAAATCCAGGCCATTTCATCGGCAGGCGATGACTCATGATGAGACAGTTTTGGCGCTGCAGAAGAAACTTGAAGAGAAACAGCAAGAGCGCCAAAGACTGAAACAAACTCAAAGCAAGAAGGCCAAACCCTCTGAGCCGACAGCAGCACACACTGTTAGAAACACAGGGACACACAACAAAGTGAGTGTGAAATCCAGAACAAAGAGGAAATGACTTCTCTCAGTATGTTGTCTGTTTTTGTTAGTGTTGCGATTTCACATGGCAGTAAATGATATTCGTCTCTCTCTTTCTTTTACTGCCAGGAAAGCCTGACTGATACAAGCTGGGAGGAATTGGAGCTGAGCTTCGAGCGTCACATCCAGAAGGACGCACCTTCTGTTGTTTCTCAGACAGAAACGCTCAAGACATAAATATGCATAGGCCTGTGAATGTTCTTTTTTAGACCAGAGAGATCATCAGTGTCTGCAAGAAATGTGTGGGAGGATTTTTTTTGTCTATTCTTTGACACATTTCAAATTAAAATAGCTGTGGAAATGTTTGAGTGCCATTATGATTTATTTCCAGAAATGATGTTATTTGAGGTGTACAATAAATAGCACCAATGTTCCCCCGTAGTAGATTCCACCTGTATTCCACCTTCAACTCACGACTTACAAAGAAAATGTCCCTTCCCTAAAAAGTTGTGTGTTGTTGTTGATGGGTGTCTGTTTTGGCAACAAGTTACTGTAAAATGTTTTACTCATTATTAGTCATCATCATGCCAGAATCCCTCCCATTGAAAAGCAGAAATAGATCATGAATATATGAAATCAAAACTGCATATTTGTTTAAATCTTTTTGATGTATGTATCGTCTGTGTAACGGTTTACTAATAGATTGTAATTATACAGAATATACTGTACTTTGCCACACATTTATTTTAATCACACTACAGGCGCCCCTGGTGGCTGCTCCGTGTAACATCAGGAGATCTGTCTGAATCCGGCCCATTTTATACAGTTTTTCCATGTAAAGCAAAATCACATGATGTGTATTTTGTCATATGACACTGATGAGAGGACTGATCCCACTGCGAGCGAGCGTCACTGACGTCTTCTCTAAAAACAAAGGCAGCTCGCGGGACACTTGTCAGGGATGCTGTAGCGTCCTGACATTGTTTGGAGATATAGTCGATATTATCTGGAGGATGGAGGGCCGGGGACTTCTGCCTGCCATATGCGCCGCTTGTTTCATTGGTGAGCCTGACTCTTAACCGACCATAACTGCTGTAATGCTGCTACACAGTGGGCACGATATAGGTTTACTAAATAATCATTATTGAGAGTGTAAACTCACTAATCAAAACTGAAATGGCATATTATGTTTAGATAGGTATGGTTAAATACTTGTTTTAAAGCAATCAAAGCATAACATAACTATACATTGAATACAAATGTCATGCAGTCACAACAGCTAAATGTGAAAAGTGGGACACATCTTTCTAAAATAAAAGTTTATTAGCTGGAAATCCTTTCACAACCAACGTTCTCCTCATGAAGAATGACCACAGAATAATGTAGCCTACTGTGTTGGTTTGGTCCGTTAATAACTGTTATATTAAAACTAAGTATCATGTGGTATGACAATAATAGTCTGAAAGAGACTAGTTTTACAAAGATTTGAATATGATGTTGCTAAATACTTAAGAATATAACGTTCTGTTAGTATAACAAAGGATTGTGTCTAAAAGTTTGAGAGAGAAATGTTGCCAACCCAGAAAAACCAGAGAAATCACATGACCCCATTTCTGAATAATTGCATTTCATGAAGAGGATGGCTCATATTGAAGAAAGCACTTAAGCACATGGCTAATGTGATTACTAACACAATATGGGCTCTGTTTTACTAAAGTCGTTATCCGTTGCTCTCACTTTCTCCGTGGTTATAGCCAAGGAATATCAATGGTAGATATTATGTCTGAGAATGAGGGAGATGATTGAATACTTAATACTTCTTTAAAACTAAGAGCACTACTGTAAATGGCTGAAAATGTAAATACATTCAATTTCAAATTCTCCAAGACTACCTTTTTACAGAAATGTCTACTTGACACTACAACAGCAGAAAATCTACTTTGGTATTCTGCATTTTTATTTTTCAGTGTGCTAAGATGTGAGCTGAAAAATCACAAATACAGCAAGCCAGTGTACCTATAGCGAGTAAAACTCTAACACAGAAAATACCCGTCTATGCTGCCCCAGAACGCCTGGTTGGAGATTTTTATTTTTCCATTTTTTTCTTCCTGAGTATGGTGACGTAACGATACCCAGGTCCAAATGGACCAATCCGTGGAGCTCCTCTCACACACACACACACTCACTCAGCCTTATCTTTTCTCACCCGCGGCTCCGTGGATCTCCACTCACAGTTTGCCACACACTCACAGCCTGGCTGTGAGTGGTGTCTCGCTGTCTCAACGACCCCACGCCGCAACCAGGGAACGACACCAGTAATACAGCTCACACTGTCTGCTCCTCGAGCCTCAAAGGGCGGAGCACCCAGACCCACGCAGCATTCTCATCTGTTTGTCATTACTGGTGTCATTTTCTGGTTGCTAACAAATGCCATTGTAACACATCAGAGCACAGTGGGCTCATAGGGGGGGGGGGGGGGGGGGGGAGGCAGGAGCTCCAACAAGGCGTGTAGGACAGAGAGTGAATATACTATACAGAGATGCTGTATAAGAAAGCCAATGTGATTTTGGAACATTGAACAATGTAAATCTATTCTAGTAGACCTCAACAATGGAATTATGATCAGTAGAAATAGCCATGACATGGGGCCTTTAAGTAAATAGATGCCAATAAACCATAGGCCCAAAACGTCTCAGGTTAGCTCCTTTTAAAAACGTACTTAGTTTTTGCTTCTATTGTTGTATTAAACATTCAGCAACAGATATACTCCAAAAGCCCAAGAGACATTTGCATGACCTTTGCAACATGTCAACTTCAGGTCAAATCAATAATTCAATTTGATAGTTTTTATGACCGACATAACTTTTTTTTCAAGTTTTCTGTGTGCATTTGATGGCTTTTGTGTCAGTAGAGTGATGACACAAATCATGTTGAAAAAGCGAGATTGGGTACAAGTCCTAGCTGGATTTAAACCAGGCCTGATATAGCACCATATTAGGCACCTAAAAACCAGTCATGATTGATTTTATTTATTAATACTCCTACTTCAGTCCACTACCAGAAGTCAGAATTGAAAGACAGTGTCCTTCTCCTCCAGGCATGGTGGTGAGCCAGACCACACTAGCTCCTGCAGTGATGAACACCACTTTCATGGAGAATGTGACTGATCCGACAGTAACTCCCGTGATTCTCACCACGACCCCAGGCTGCTTGGCGTTCAACACTTCTACTTGTGAGCCTTGTGCACCGGGATCGGAGTACGACAACAGTGAGTCAACGACCGTTTCATCTGACATGAAGCCACCATTTTAAGATGTAAACAGTAAAGTCGTAGTTAAGAAAATGCTTCCCTATCCCTCCCCAGACACCCTGCTGTGTGCATGCTGTGCTGACCCCGGGCTGTGTCTATTTCCTGGTGCCTGCCTGCCATGCAACAGAGGCTTCTATCAGCCGCTAGCAGGACAGCAGCAGTGTCTGCCCTGCAACCGGGGCTTCTACACAAAGTATGACACACATTCTACATTTACTTTGACTTCTAATGGATTTTATTGGCTTTACCATCTAGTTCACTGTTCAATGTCTTGTGTTTTTTGCACTACTGCACAGTTTCACTGGAAGTCCCTTGTGTAATCCCTGCCCTACTGGATCCTTCAACAATATCACTGGTGGAGACAGTTGCACAAGTTGTCCAGCAGGTGTGTTTATTGAGCTGAATACAAAAAAATAAATCATCAATTGTAAATCATTAACTATTGATATGCTTTCAGTCAAAACCAACAGTATACTTGTGGTCAAAAATGAGATTTGTTTATGTTAAATGTCAAGTAAATTATAAATGAACATTAGCTTGCAACTGATTAGAGTATCTGTATCTCAAAATAGTTTGACATCTTCAAAGATTTGAGAGAAAACACAAATCACATGTGTTGAGTTATTTTCTGCCTACTGCTTTCAGGTTTCTTTTCCTCGCAGCACAGCTCCACTTCATGTTTGCCATGTGCACAGGGAAGCTTCTGCAAGTAAGTTGTACTTAAATGTCACCGCCGGGTTTCTATTTCTGTTTCTATTATGGTTTGTTTCTAGGACCCAGAAATCTTTGTGAAACTCTCCTAACTATCGCTGTGTTTGGATAATCACTTCATCTAACAACATCACATGATTTTATGATCCCATGGTTCTGTTTGGCAGCACACACACACACACACACACACGCACACACACAGTAGTTTGAGGCAATATGACTTTTATCAATGCCTCAGCGACAGCGTGTGTTACCCTGAATTCATGTTGAAAACTGTTTTTCTCACATGCATCTATAGTGAAAGATCCAAAGAAAATCCAAAAACCTAATGATTCAAATACATTGGGCCAGCGTTTTACAACAGAAAAACTATAACAATAAATCAGTTGATGAACTCTCACACACCTCATCCATTATAGTCGATATCTTATTCATCCAATTATATGCTCATTACTTCTGAAACAAATTCATATTTGCTTAAACTTTATTATTTAATAGACTTGTGCATAAACAGTACTCGCAGATGAGACTCATACTGAACCAGAGAGTTTGTAAACGGATGATTTGATGTAGTTTTGCTGTTGTTAAACAGCATTCTTTTTGCTATATTCTTTAAGTTTCATCAAGACTTTCACTGTGTTTTTTGGAGTCTTCATTTACCTTGGGGGCATGCAAGTAAAACCAAATGTTCTACACAAATTCAAGTCAACACATGCTTGAGTAAGTCACTGATATACAAATGTAGATGTTGCGTTTCTTTTAACCTTTGAAACATCAGTCCTATCAGGCTTATACTGTATGTCTGTTAATACTTTTAGACCAAGCTGCTAAACAGCTTTAAAATAATCAGCTTTCACATTTTTCAAAGTTACTTGTGACAGCTATGAAATTCATAATAGTTTATCCATTTACAGTCACAAACGTGTCTCTCTCTCTCAGTTCCTCTGGTTGTAGCCAGTGTCAGATGTGTCCTGGAGGAACAGAAGCTTTGCAGTCTGCCGCAAGGGGCTGCACACTGTGTCGGCCAGGTAATTGATATCATGCTAACTTAATGCTACAAGGCCTAAAGAGTAATGTGTATCAGTGTGGCAGCTCATGATAAAAAAGGGGATATATCCATCCAGGTGATATCTGGTTTTAAACAGGCATGCACAAGCTTCCCCATCAGACGATGTGTCAAATCTGTGGCAGTGGATTCTACCAAGTCAACTGGGGCAGGGAGAACTGTGATTTATGTCCAGAGAATCACTACTGCCCTGTGAGTACTGCACGTCCACACAAATCAGAGGAAACAAATATCTTGCATATGTTGGTTGACATGTTTTTTTTCCTCAGAGTCCAGATGTGAACCCCATTAAGTGTCCCAGCGATGCTTTTTGTCCAGAGGGCAGCTTGTCTCCGGGATACTGCATGGAGACTTTCTTCCGCAAAGAAGGGGACACGTGTGAACTGGCTCCTGTCACCTTGGCCCTTTTAGTAATTGGGGGAGGGGGTAAGTAACACTTAACTATCCAGTACGTTTTTCTGACGTAATACTGTCTTACTGTTAAGACATCTCTGTATATATATTACTTCTCCATTGCATAGACAGTTACTTTATTCCTGTTTACATTCAGTTTATTCAATCATATTTCATATTTCATACTCCCACAGATGTATCACTCGATTCCACTCATGTTTATATTTTAGCCCTATATTTTAACTTGCATATTTTAAGTCTTTCATTTGGCTTTTACTTGCATGCTTTTCTTTTTTTAATACTTATGAAATGAGCCTGAGAGCTAGGGTTTAATATTGTTTTTCATGTTATAGCAAAGAAAAGTTGAACTAACAACATGTTTAAAAGCATTGCTTTAAAGTTATGCTTTTCAAACTGATTACCTTAAAGTTGTGAAGCTTCAGGCTGCAATATGTGGGAATTAGATTATATATATTATCTAATTATATATATATAATCTAATTAGACACACAAACACATTTATTTAAAGTAAGTATTAAAAGTGTTTGTTTGATATATTGATTTATATCTCCATTTGGATAATATATGGCTTCCTTTTTTTCTTTAGCTTAAACGGCACAGTTCATGTTTTTCTCACTCATATTAGGAAATGAGCAAAGATGAAAAAAATAAATTGCAGTGAAAGGACTTTGAATTGCTCTGAATTATTATTATTATCTTTTGTTTTGTTTATTACGTTATGTATTTTAATTAAAATATAAGCTTTGTACTGCAGATTTCATATATAAACTAAGCATTTTTTGTATGCCTAAGGTATGCTATGATATATGACACTAATATCTCTCACAAAAACAGAACACTTTTCTTTTTGCACCATGAAAACTGTTTTTTTCCCCTGTTAAACTGAGACCACTTCATTCCTACTGGACAAAATGAATTAAAATAGGAATCATGCTCACAGTATAATATTGGCGTATGTGTAATCAATAGTACTGTAAATGGACATTTCCTGTAACATCCTCTGGTGTTCTTTTTCAGTGGCCGTACTCTTCATAATTTTAATGGTCCTACGTCGACGGAGGGACATTGATGGAGAGTTGACTGTAGCACGAGCTCCACTATTAGGCAAAGAGCGACCTCAGGGTCGATACTATGGCGTCCCCTGTGATGCAGAACCTGTGTATGCTGGCTGGTGAAACAGAGGACCTCATCTTAGCTGTGCTTGGTATCTTGTTATGGGTCCCAACTAAAGACACAAGAACTGATTGAGGAGTACAAAGTTAAAACACTGGACTGGTGCCTTGAGAGTGCTCTGACAGTGTACAAGCTTTTTAAAATCTGGTACGTTTTAATATATTACAAAGAAACAGACGTTTTTTTCTGAACTTTTGTAGTTTTACACTGGTACAATTGTTCCACTCAGAGACAAACATGCTTCTTTTGTAAACTACGTTAATGGATTATGAGAGTTATGTTGAGCGGTGAAAATAGATGCGTTCCTTGACTTTGTGGGAACCTCTCTGTCTTATGAAAAGCACTTTTTTTACAGAGGTAATTGATTTACTTCTGACTGATGTGTTGATAGACTTGTGGTTACTTCCAATAACTCTTGTAGTTCCACAGCTACAGAGAGGTGTAAACTGGTTGCTGCCATGGTTGCTGATTGTATCTGCTTTTTTTTTAAAAGTTATGTTTGTATAAAGGCAAAATAAATACAAATAATTAATTTGAGCCTCATTTCTCACTGTTTTGTACTTATTTGAATTTGATTGCAAACCTAAAATAGAATATATGTTTTAAATGTATAGAAAATGAGGCAGTATTAAACAAATTCACCCAATCCTGGAAAACCACTACTATCATAACCATTAAAAAATAAATACCAGGGTTTTAAATCCAAGTCGGCCTAATACTGTCAAGACAGCCTGACCTTGTTAGAGCCTCACAGATGTAGTTTTTTGTTGTTGGTACAAATCATCTTAACAAGTATTATTTTAAGATGGTGTAAAGTTGAGGGGTCTAAAACATGGAAATTGTATAATGTCCCTATCCTCAGCAATCTAGATCTTATTTTTCTATTGTATGCAATTTCATTCTAGATTAAGTGCCCTTCATTTTTGTATAAATAGTAATGACTGACTTTTGCACATTGGTTTTAAAACAATATGGACCTCTCTAACTACAGATATGTGTACATGTTGTAGCTGGAAAATCACAGGTGTATTTAATAATTTATGATTTCATAAAGTGCAGATCAAAGTCATGTTATTAGTTGCCCCTGTGCATTTCCTGCAATGACAGGTAATAATGTGTGCCCTGAAGAATATGTATTCAGGGGATACTGCAAGGTTTACCAGACTGAAGAAAAAAGGGAAATCCCTCTAACAAATATGTGGTTTGGTCACACTGCACTGAATATTTCTTCCACATTATATAAACATCAAATGTGACAAATAGCAGATCTGTAGTTCAGATAAACATGTTTACTGAGTGTGACACAACCATGGAGTAGAAAGACAGATACAGCTAAGAGTTGCACACAAGAATGTGTTCAGAAGTATAACATGCACAGAAAGTTGATGCCAGAGTACTTAACATACTTTCTGGAGGATGAAACCTCATACACACTATGGTTGGTCTGTGTTGTTTGTATTTCAATACCAGACAGCAGTGGTGCAACCACAAAAGAGGCAAAAGAGTACTCCATTCCAAATTCCTGCATTCATTTAAACTCTAATAAAAGTACAGTTAGTTTATGGTTAATACATTCAAGTATACAAAATATCAGTGTATATTTCATTAGTGGATTTGTTATTCATGATGCATTTACATGTAAGAAGCATATCATTGTTGCAAAGGGCAGAACATTTCCTTTGCTGTTGGTTATTAGTAACAGGACTGTTGTCCATATCTTAAATTGTCATGTTAAAAAAAAATGATAATAATTTAAATGGATATCAAATACATGTAGAGTGGTAAAAAGTACACTTGTTGCCTCTGAAATGTTGTCGTTAGAAAGATACAATAGCAAAATTAGAAAATATATATTTATAAACCAAATACAACAAAACTGTAATTTCGCCATATTTTTCTGAGAATAAAATCATACAACATGTGAGTAACAATTGCTAGGTGGCGGTAATGCACCGTTTCGTATTTACGTTAGATCCATGCGTTCTTATTATACATCCATGGATGAATGCAATAACAGAGACATTTGTCCTAACAGGACTCCGTACGTACGCGAACATTCCAGTAGAAAAGATGGCGGCCGCCTTTGCAAGAAGGGTGTCTGGTATGTACTGACAATTTGACATTACAACTTATAATATCTCACTCCCTTCACCATGTAAATGTTTAGTATTGTTCCATATTCGAATTCACTGAACTTTTGGCATAATTGTGCGAACACGTGTTGTGTGTTATCACAGTCAGTACGTGGAGTTGCTAAAATAGCTAACTAGCCACAGTGCTAGGTTTTCTCTGCGCTGACCTGTTGTCCTTGTGTCTGACAGGGCTGCTGAGGCCGCTGTCTATCTCTCTGTGTGCCAGGACAACACAGCTCTGTCCGCTCTCCAGCCTCATCCAGCCTGCCCCTCTCTACGGCTCTGCTGCAGCCGCTGTCCGCGCTCCTCTGCGGGCTGCGGTGTGCCTGACGCCCCGCTGCAGCATCCTTCAACGGTACAACAACTCCTTCTGATAACCAGTTCAGTGGACAGTTAATAACCAAAGCCCGTCACCACTTCATAGTTGAATATTATCAACACATGTATCTTTAACTCTACTATTCATCGTGTCAGAGAACACAACTTACATTGACACTATAGGCAATAGAATATAACACATGACATAAGTTTTCTGAGGCTGTTTCCAGTGGTTTGCTCTGTTCCATTTGAGGGATATCTTGTCACAACATATATAATATTACTTAATTTTATACCATGCATGAAAACACATTTGGGTTAAGATTAAAGTCAGTAGCAACAAGGATATTGTATTCAATATCTACTACTTGTCATTTGAGAATTAGTTTTGTAATTATGTGACGTGAAGATTGGACATCCAAAAGAGTTAAGCACCACAATCAAAATGCTATTCCCCAATCCCGAGGGATATTTCAAAACCGACCAAATAAAACAAACACTTATGTTAAGAGGTCAAATATTGTGTTAATTCATTGAATTGAACCTTCTTCAATTAAGCAGCTAGCCTCAAAAAGGCCTGAGAGTCTCATAGTTATGGATCTTGGGATTTACCTGATTCTGATTAACAATTCATGTTACCTTTCTCTACTCTGTGTTGTTCTAGGGTTTCAGCTCTTATTCCCAGTCTGACTCAACAGCCAAGCCGAAGTCTGACCTATGTCAGTCTGAAGAAGGGGAAAAGGAAGTCTGTCAAATCTGTGACGGAGAGATTCATGAGGCTGCACTGTGACCTTTGGATAAGACGCAAGGTATGAATCATTTGCTAAGAACTGCCATTTCTTGTCTTTGCACATTTTTCTAAATGTGTTGCCAATCTGTCTTCCTGTGGACATTGTTTACAGGCTGGATACAAAAAGAAACTGTGGAAGAAGAGGCCTGCTCGGCGAAGCCGCCTGAGGGAGCATGTATTCTGTAACAAATCACAAACAAAGCTTTTGGATAGAATGACAACCTCGTTTTGGAAAAGGAGGAACTGGTTTGTTGATGATCCGTACCTGAAGTACCACGATCGGGTCAACCTCAAAGTGTAATGTGCTGATTCATGTAGTGACATCTTCTTTGTGTGTTTTATTATAATGTTAAATAAGTAATAAAATCATGTGTTAAATGATCCTTTCCTTTTAAATGCCTGTTTTTTTAAAGACAAAAAAGATTAGAACACAGTCAATTCTTTACTTAGTTTTTAATGGCTGTAAATCGATTTTTTACAGAGATATTTAACCCAGTAGAACAATTAACCATCATTTCATCACTTCACTTTAGTTTTGTATTTCACAATAAGGTTGAATTTGAATTATTTTGACATTCTGGCCTGCCAGAACTACATTTCTTAGGATAACTTAAGTGGTATCTCCTCATGAATGAAGTCAAAGTGGCAAATTCACCAGTAAATAAGACAGTATTCATACAGTATGTATAGCCAACATGGATGTATAGTCAGAACATTTCATATTCTTTCTACAAAGCAACAGAACATGACAAATGATTTACTGTTTACCTGCAAGGTGTCAGCAAAATCACTTGAATCAAATGTTCATACAAATTAATAACAAACATCATGCAATGATGAGTTTCAGTTTACGCACATGTATACAAATCTGCTTCTTAGCGACATTTTTTTTCTCTTTTGCTTTGCATGAATTTTAATAGGATATCACATCCATCACTAACACTGATACTACTAACGTTGAAACACAATTTCATTTTTTTCACCAAAAGTCCATTTAAAAGGACAATTTATGTGCATAAGTGTATCTACAACATCTGAGTGACGTGTAAATAGAACAGTTGTACCTGAGAAGCTTTCGTTTCAAACTTCAGACTCTTAATGAAACCGATACAAAGATGAAAATTATAGATCTATGGCAGAAGTCTATCCATCGACAACCAACACAGTGATATTGTGTGAAATGTTGCTTTGTCCCAGGCTCAGTGAATTAAGTAAAGGATGAAAACATAGTGTATCAACAAGCAATTTAAACTTAAATGTAAGTTTGTAAACTAATAAAGTCACTCTAATGAATTCTTAAAAATCAGGGAGCAGAAGATCGTTGGGTTTAGTGTTGCTCCGTTAACAGCAGAGCACTACACAGTGATTTCAAACACGGAAAAATAACCATGTTTATATTTAATAAATATTGACTCACGATATACCCTATTTCTGCTAAAGCTCAAAGTAACATATTCCTAAATGGCCGACCATTGCCAAATGAATGATCAGTTAAATGCTTAAAAAATGAACAGTAGATTGTCAAAAACGGTACACTCCATAACCTCCTGTAGTAGTGAATCCATTTTTCTGTGGTGTGAATACTTTTACCACAGAAAAAATAAATAAAGTTTTAGTGATAATATTCAGCTATTAATTTGTTATGAATAAATGTTTGTATTTTTTGGGCCATTTAGGAGCATTGAGGGCAGCCTTTTTAAATAGTAAACATAGTGCAAAGTGATTGTTTAATGAGAACATATTTGTTAGAAATACTTATGTTGAGACATTTTAGGTTGTTACGTCTTTCTTTAAGGCTTTAATAGAGAGGTGCGTAACTAAATATTGTCTGCCACTGGTGTTCAGTGTTACAAAGGTAGGATGTTTAAACTCAGAAGAGTGATTTTTGAATAATATGAGAATTAATCGTTGCAGAATACAGCTGATCATAGATGCTTCTATAGAACAGATTGAATGGGGGTAAGACATTTGTTTTCTATTGAACATTGGCTTTTACTACATTCTCTTACATTGACCATGTCACTCTCACTCCGGCTTGTAGTATTCATGAAACTACATTCTGTTAGTTAACAGCGGACCAATGGCTGGGAAGACACACATGCAATTGCCTATCCAAACCTGATATACAAAAACAATCAAATCAGAAAGATGAAGTACACACAGTACATCAAAACATATAAAATAACCCATCAAATCAAAAAGGTCTATCAGCATGGAAACCATTCATTCATATGCACTCGATGTCACAACCCTCAATGTTTTTCAAATCATGAGCCACAAGATGTTATATAAATAGAGGGGTCATCATAGGTCACTTTGGTAATACCTTATTCCAAAGCAAGGCTGCTTCAGTCATGTAGCTTTTGGCCATTCAAATTTTTACTTCTTGCAGTGAAGGCAGCTGGAGTCTTTAGGACAGTTTCACATGGCTTCATTGTTCGGAGAAAGCACTCCTGGATCTTGTGAGAGGCCTTAAGACTCTAAGAGGAGGCTAGAAGGGAAGACAAATAAAGACAGTATTTAATTTATTTATACACATTATTAAAAGGATACTGCTGCTGGCTTTATTTAGTATGTTTCTTCTTGTCCAAAGCCCATAAGTTCCTACTAAGGACATACATCTATTAGAACAGGTCAAACGTATTGAATAGATTTTTTAAACTGCATATTTTTGGAAGCATTTGTTGGGGACTATTTTTTGCTGTGGATTATTAAATATGTTTACTGAGTATTAAGGGCAGCAAGATGCATGTACAGTACAGTATCTGGGATAGTAGAACTAAAATACTGTGTGGCTCAGATATGTTTTTTGTGTTATCTTTAGACAACAAGTGGTGTATGGCAAAGAGGAATAAGTAATATCAAAGTAAAAAAGACAATACTTATTTGTATAATCAATACAGTCAATTTCGGGGTTTTTTTCATGGGATTTGTCAACAGTAAGAAAAATATAGAATATTGCCGTTGTGTCCTTAGAACAGTGCAGCTCTAAGCAACACATGCCAGAAAAGGTTATATTAGATGTTAAAATGTATTAATGAAAACCAATTTGGGGTTCACACCTAGGGACTGATTATGTAAAATAATTTCAATAAACATCACATTATCAAGTTATTATCAGGGCTGGAAAGCAGTGTTTTAAACCCATGTTTATATTTTGTTCCCCATGCAACATTTCAAAACCAGTGAGCACCCATGCAAGATCACACGTTCATTTGAACCAAACAATAAACCCACCAAACACCCTCCACAGTTTCAGGAGTTCTGAACTGTGATGATTCATTTAGCTACCCAGCAACAGAAATGAGTGAATCGGTGAGTAAATCCCCACTCTCAAGGGCCAGTTAGATTCAGGCAGCAGCTGAGAAGCCACGCTGACGAGGCATTGTACCTCAGGAGCCTTCCTCTTCATCAGCCTCAGCTGCGGAGAGCTTGATGCTACCGGCAGCCCTTTCCCCACCTCCTCAGTTTCCTCCGGAGCAGGAGAGGGAGGTGGGGAGGGTGGGGAGAGTGTGGAGGGTGGGGAGGACTCAGAGGGTGAAATGGTCTGGGACAGCGACTCCTTGGACTCCCATTGGCCCAACCCCAACATCTCATACTCAGTCATGTCAAAATCTGTGCCATGAAGAAGGATCAGTGGAAGGCATGAACAACGTGTCTCTGGTTTATTGAATGTGTGTAACTGCTCTTATTGACATCACTGACAATTAGGAAAGTTCTTATGATGTGAAGATCATACATAATTGAAGTTAAGTTAACATTTTTGTGTTTTAATGGGATTTGGTGCCAATACCATAACATAACATAACCTTAGTTTATCCTTTAAATTGAGAGGATCCATAATTGAGTAAATGCTATTATTATTATTCTCAGATATTAACAGATTATCTTAATTCCTTGTTCGTTAAAAAGGTTATTATGTCTTTACACAGCGGACAATTGTGTTCCAATGTTAACATTTGTGTCTTAATTTCCTCCTCAAAAAAAGAATTATCAGCTGAGAACAAATATTTAAGGACACGATCTAGAATTTAACAAACAACAACTGCTTCCACATGATGTTGGGAACAAATCCCCCCAGCTACATGTGAGTTTAATCACAGGGTGGTGAGCCTGGCAGGCCTGCGACGCCTGACCTGCTCCAAACAGGAAGGCAGGACTGACGTTTCGGGGCCACTCAGGAAAGCAGAGGCTCTAAACAATATCTGACGGCTTAAACAAGCTGGAACAGGAAGACAGAAATCTAAAAGAGAATCAGTTTTACACAAACGAACCATGCAGGCACTATTATTGTGTTATAATAGCACCATTATGGCTTATATTGTCAGTACTACAAGGGAGTTTTATTATGCCCCAATAACAATTTCCTGGGCCAGAGTAATGTATGCTCACCCTTGTTACAGCTCTCCGACTTGCTGCGCATCATGGACCTGGGTCGAGTTTGTGCTGCTGCTGCAGGCTGCGAAGTATCAGGGCCGGTTTTACTGGTGTCAGACTCACAAGAAGACAGATCCTGCATACTGAAGCTCCTCAATCTGTCTGACAAAACCCCTTGGCTCTAGAAAAGGTAACAAGGTTTTCATCTAGTGTCAGTGGCAGTGTGTCAACAACATGGATCATCCTGACAATAGGCTACTTTAAAAACAAACACACAATAAGCCTATGTGCATATATACAATGCCCCTCTACTGTACCCCCAGGTCAAAACACACCAAATATCCAGACTCTGCGTTACCTTTGTTGCAGCCAGGACGGCAGCTGTGGCGGCAACATTCAGCCCTTTTCTCCCAAAATGCACCAGTGTGTCATAGCTTTTGTCCTTAGCTTGGCAGATATACTCGTCAATGTCCTGTAACAAGGACAGAAACAAAATGATGTTAACCTTGTCTCCCTCGTTATTAGGTCAGTCCTTACTGTATGTGCTGTGTTGACATGCACTTCTAATATGCTTAATTGCCTTACTTATCTTCTCCAACTCACTAATGTGTTTCCTGACTTAGACAAGGAGGAAAAAGGAAAGGAGAAAGGGAGGAACACTGACATTTCCTCTATCCTGTCCTGCCAACACATCTTTAACAGCGAAAGTAGAAAAAACACAAAGGGCACTTTTGTTTTCTGGACAGCTGCAAAGCTCAAATTCTATCAGTTACAAAACATGAAGGCTAACTTAAACTAAATATTTTCCCGAAAGACTTTCCTTGAATCCACCAGTGGAAGAATAGGAAGGTACGACAAAGGGAAGGATTTCACCTTTTCTTTTGAGGAAAGCGTGGGATGAACAAACTTCCTGTACAGCACACTGGAGCCCTTAGTGTAAGGGGACAGCAGCCACACCACAAAGGCTATCTTCAGTTCATAGTAGAAAGGAATCCTGCACCAAAGA